TCGTCACCGGCGCGACACCTTGATCTCCATCGTAGCATCGTTGTCAACTCGCCAATCTTATGCTTCCATGACTATCGCTACCGCTTAGTGACAAAGTAAAGCATTACAACGCGATTGCATTGCATACAATAAAGCGACAACCATATGGCTCCTGCCAGTTGCCGATAACTCGGTTACAAAACATGATCATCTCATACAATAAAATTTAGCATCATGTCTTGACCATATCACATCACAACATGCCCTGCAAAAACAAGTTAGGCGTCCTCTACTTTGTTGTTGCAAGTTTTACGTGGCTGCTACGGGCTTAAGCAAGAACCAATCTTACATACGCATCAAAACCACAACGATAGTTTGTCAAGTTGGTGCTGTTTTAACCTTTGCAAGGACCGGGCGTAGCCACACTCGGTTCAACTAAAGTTGGAGAAAACTGACACCCACCAGCCACCTGTGTGCAAAGCACGACGGTACAACCAGTCTCGCGTAAGCGTACGCGTAATGTCGGTCCGGGCCGCTTCATCCAACAATACCGCCGAACCAAAGTATGACATGCTGGTAAGCAGTATGACTTATATCGCCCACAACTCACTTGTGTTCTACTCGTGCATATAACATCAAACCATAAAACCTAGGCTCTGATACCACTGTTGGGGAACGTAGTAATTTCAAAAAATTTCCTACGCACACGCAAGATCATGGTGATGCATAGCAACCAGAGGGGGGAGTGTTGTCTACGTACCCTTGTAGACCGAAGCGGAAGCGTTGATGCAACATAGAGGAAGTAGTCGTACGTCTTCCCGGTCCAACCGATCCAAGCACCGTTACTCCGGCACCTCCGAGTTCTTAGCACACGTTCAGCTCGATGATGCTCCCCGGGCTCTGATCCAGCAAAGCTTCGGGGAGGAGTTTCGTCAGCACGACGGCGTGGTGATGATCTTGATGTTCAACCGTCGCAGGGCTTCGCCTAAGCACCACTACAATATGACCGAGGTGTAATATCATGGAGGGGGACACCGCACACGGCTAAGGAACGATCACGAAGATCAACTTGTGTGTCCTAGGGTGTCCCCCTGCCCCCGTATATAAAGGAGCAAGGGGGGAGGTCGGCTGGCCCTATGGGGCGCGCCAAAGGGAGGGGGGAGTCCTCCTCCTAGTGGGAGTAGGACTCCCCTTTCCTAGTCTAACTAGGAAGAAAGAGGGGGAAGGAAAGAAAGGGAGAGGGAGAGGGAAAGAGGGGCCGCACCCCCCCTCCCTAGTCCAATTCGGACTCCCCATGGGGGGGGGGGCGCCACCTCCTGGGCTGCTGCCCTCTCTCTCCCCTTAGGCCCACTAAGGCCCAATACTTCCCCGGGGGTTCCGGTAACCCCTCCGGCACTCCGGTTTTCTCCGAAATCACCCGGAACACTTCCGGTGTCCGAATATAGTCGTCCAATATATCAATCTTTATGTCTCTACCATTTCGAGACTCCTCGTCATGTCTGTGATCACATCTGGGACTCCGAACAACCTTCGGTACATCAAAATACATAAACTCATAATGAAACTGTCATTGTAACGTTAAGCGTGCGGACCCTACGGTTCGAGAACAATGTAGACATGACCGAGACACGTCTCTGGTCAATAACCAATAGCGGAACCTGGATGCTCATATTGGTTCCTACATATTCTACGAAGATCTTTATCGGTCAGACCGCATAACAACATACGTTGTTCCCTTTGTCATCGGTATGTTACTTGCCCGAGATTCGATCGTCGGTATCTCAATACCTAGTTCAATCTCGTCACCGGCAAGTCTCTTTACTCGTTCTGTAATACATCATCTCACAACTAACTCATTAGTTGCAATGCTTGCAAGGCTTATGTGATGTGTATTACCGAGAGGGCCCAAAGATACCTCTCCGACAATCGGAGTGACAAATCCTAATCTCGAAATACGCCAACCCAACATGTACCTTTGGAGACACCTGTAGAGCACCTTTATAATCACCCAGTTACGTTGTGAAGTTTGGTAGCACACAAAGTGTTCCTCCGGCAAACGGGAGTTGCATAATCTCATAGTCATAGGAACATGTATAAGTCATGAAGAAAGCAATAGCAACATACTAAACGATCGGGTGCTAAGCTAATGGAATGGGTCATGTCAATCAGATCATTCAACTAATGATGTGATCCCGTTAATCAAATAACAACTCTTTGTTCATGGTTAGGAAACATAACCATCTTTGATTAACGAGCTAGTCAAGTAGAGGCATACTAGTGACACTCTGTTTGTCTATGTATTCACATGTATTATGTTTCCGGTTAATACAATTCTAGCATGAATAATAAACATTTATCATGATATAAGGAAATAAATAATAACTTTATTATTGCCTCTAGGGCATATTTCCTTCAGGTAGTACAAGAGTAGATCTACCATGAGATCGAGGAGGCTAAACCCTAGAAGCTAGCCTATGGTATGATTGTTGATGTGTACGTTGTCCTACGGACTAAAACCCTCCGGTTTATATAGACACCGGACAGGGTTAGGGTTACATAGAGTCGGTTACAATGGTAGAAGATCTGCATATCCGTATCGCCAAGCTTGCCTTCCACACAAAGGAAAGTCCCTTCCGGACACGGGACAGAGTCTTCAATCTTGTATCTTCATAGTCCAGGAGTCCGGCTGAAGGTATTGTCCGGCTATCCGAACACCCCCTAATCCAGGACTCCCTCATACACCCCCTACCACGAATGGTACATCTACATGGCAGATTAGTAGAAAATTTTTCCATGACCTACTACTCAAGGGAAAAACTACCTACAAGAAATTTTCCATTGTACACTACAAAGAGCCTTCATATAAAAAGAAATTTGCCATGTTTCAGGAAAAAAAACAAATACCAGCAGGAAATTGCCATGGTTCAAGAAAAAAAATACCTACAAACAAGAAATTTATGATGGTCCACTACAAAAAGAAAAATACATACAGGAATATTTGCCATGATTCACTGAAAAAACTATAGGAAAATTGTCGTAGTCCAGGGCAATTTCAATGATAAATGTTATCTAGATCATGGCAAATTTAAAAAAAAGATTATACTTGTTACATGGCAGAAATTAAGATTTATTTTCTCTACAACAATGCCATTATTTTTGGGAATTTCTAAATGGTCACATGGGAAAAAAAATCCAGGATTTGTGTTATATGAAAATATGGCAACTTAAAAAAATGTCCACAAGAAAAATTTAGGCATTTTGTTTGGATAAAACATGTTTTCTGTATAAGGATATATTCTTTAAAATCATGGCAACTATAAACTTTTATTTTAAATTCCCTTTTTTTAAACATGGCACCTTATAAATATGTCCTGTAAATAATGGAAAGTATAAGTAAAATGAATAAAGTAACCATGTACAAGCATCTTGAAATTGCGTGAAATTTGACAAGGAAGAACATGTGAGGTGACACCCGAACCAAACAATCATGTGAGGATGTGTTGGCATAAATTGCTACCACGACCATCATCGACGAGTCTTGGCGCACAGGTCATAAGGCCCGTCGACTTCTGGCCATCTAACAAGCCATCTTTGTTCCCCATCTTCTACCCCATCCCAGCACAAAGCAAACACCCAGGAACACCTTCTTGCCATGTTAAAAATGCCATGTCTATTTAAAATCTACTGGCATGATAAAAAGTTGCTAGGAGAATACACACTTCTTGCCCTGTTATAAAAAAGCCAACTGTGACGTTTATACTAAAATTCACATACATAGTCCCAACTCCCACTGGAACCACTCAAATTGTATGTAACACCACAATCCTTGCTTTAAAACAACTAAATGAAGGGGAATCGCTGGTTCAGAACACCGCAAAATCCTGCAACCATGCTAGAAACACAACTAAAATGGCGGCGTGCACCTCCTCGTCGCAACACAGACACATATATGCACATCACAACGCTAGTGGCCTCTTACTCTCTTCGAGCAAAAGGGGCAAATGGAAGACGACTCGTACCTCGCTGGCATGGATGACGAGGAGCAACTACGACGATGATGTAGATAGCGCTGACGCACGTACGAATTTCAACAGTCAGAGCCTTATGGACGCCACACTAGGAAGATGTGCATCTGTGGGGAGGAGGCAGCCCTGCGACAGAGCCAACCACACCAAAGGATGGAGAGGTCGCCACATCGTGCCGGGCACCAGTGAGGAGTGGCAGGGTACGGACCAGATCTTGAGCTCGTGGAAGAGACGTGGAACCGGAGCTCATGCGCGCGAAATGAAGAGCGGTGTGGTTTAGTCGCCGCCTTGCAGCTTAATTTGGGGGATAAATGAATAGATGATGACATAAGCGAGTTAACCAGGGTAAAAAAAGCGAAAGTGTTCACGCTTGAATTCAAGGGGGCAAACAATTAAGCCGTGTGTTTGCCATGCTGTCCCTGTCGAGATTCGTGTCCGGCATCTGACGGTCATCGCCGCATCGCGCCAACGACGAGCCGGGCAAATCATTTAAATCTTACCAAATTATATGACCAACAAGGGTTAAGGGCCAGTTCTTTTGGGCGATTCTACCAGAATCGCCCCCTCCCCAGCTTCTCCCAGAATCACCACTCCATATGTTTTTTACAATCCTAGATAATTAGACCTTAACTAGATAGGATTGTAAAAAAAATATGAAGTGTCGTTTCTGGGAGAAGCTGAGGAGGGGGGCGATTATGGAAGAATCGCCGAAAAAAACTGCCCCTTAGAAGTACAGTTAATTTTGGAGATAGGCCCCCCAAACTCCAGCGAAATCCAACGGAGCCCCACCAACCCCCCTCCCAACTGATAATCTTTCTCTCTCTCGCTCTGTCGCGCATCTGACATTCCCCGTCACCACACCGCCCTCCACACACACAGCACCCGGGGCGCACCGCCGCCCCCCCGATCTCGCCGCCGCCGCCGCCGGCGACCCACCGCCCGCCGGGCCCGGCGCGTCTCCCGCGCCTCCTCCTCCGCCGGGGCGGGGCGCGCGCGATGGAGGCGGCCTTCGACGCCTACTTCCGCGCGGCGGATCTGGACCGCGACGGCCGGATCAGCGGCCAGGAGGCCGTCGCCTTCTTCAAGGGCTCCGGCCTCCCGCAGCCCGTCCTAGCTCAGGTACCCCCAGATCTCACCTCACACAACCACCTCTGCGTTTCCCCAATTCCACGCTGCTCGTCTCGGTTGCCGGCGATCTCGGCCCCTCGGACCGCCCCCCGGCTCGAATTGCCAGCTCTTCGGCTTGGGGGCTCTGAGTCGAATCCGCCGCAGTTTGCAGCTCCCATTGGGCTGTCGGCGCTGAGATTTGGATGGCGGGGCTTGCTAGGCTCGTGCTTTGATCTGGCTCTGTGATTTGCTTGCTCTACAGCTTGCTGGCTACCGACTTAGGGAGGGGAGCAGCTAGCTAACTAGAAGCACACTGGTTTTACACGGCTTAGGAATTGGGAGCAACTGGGGTTTGGGATACAGATTTTGAGCTACGGACTCGTTCGGGCGCTATGCTTCTGTGATCCTAACCGAGATTTAGCACAGTGCTCAGCTTAGTTATCTTTGTACTTCCCGCATTTCCTTGGAGAAGCTTGAGCTGTGATTTGGTCAACATCTGGTGCTCAAGTGCTAGCTGAAAGAAATGGATGTGGGTCAATGATTTTAGTTGTGCAATGAGTAGCAGCTTTTAGAACCTAGTCATCACAACTACCTATGGCAGGAAACAGTATGGTTTGATTATTAGAAAGTTGAGCCACACGTCCCAAAGTATATCTACTCGATCATGCTTCTTGTTAGCATTTGAAATACTGCACTTGCAGAACTTACATCTCAATATTGGGTGAATAGACTTATCTAAAGTGATGAATTCAGTTGGAACAGATGATATGTGAAATGATGCTAAAGCTACTTACCTTGTACCTTCAGAGATGCTTGTCACTGTCTCATTGTGCATACTTGGCCTTTTGCCTACTGGTACTAATTGCCATTTGCTTCTTTTGCTGGTGCAGATCTGGACATATGCTGACAAAAATCGGACTGGGTTTCTTGGGCGTGAAGATTTTTTCAACTCGCTTAAACTAGTGACAGTCGCACAGAGTGGCCGACAGTTGACACCGGACATTGTTAAGTCAGCATTATTCGGTCCCGCTGCTGCAAAAATTCCTGCTCCCCGTATAAATATCCCAACCGCAGCTCCTCAGCCAAATAGTGTCACTAGCCCCCCGCAGCCGACTCAGGCATTAGGTCCTCGTCAACAGACTCCAGTTGTAAATGGATCACAGGGCCCTCCTGGTCCTGGATCATCATTGAATCCACAAGTACCCCAACCGGGTAATCTTGTTAGGCCGCCACAACCTCCAAGTGCAAACACCCCACAAGTACCCCAACAGGGTCATCCTGTTAGGCCGCCACAACCTCGTGCAAACACCTCACAAGTACCCCAACAGGGTCATCCTGTTAGACCGCCACAACCTCCAAATGCAAACATCCCCCCTGCTCAGGGAATTGCGCCAAGGCCACCTGTAGGAGGTGGTCTAAGTGGGCTAAATCAGACTGGTTCAACGACGGCAAATCTATCCACCGATTGGTTCAGTGGCAAGAAAAGTGCAAGTCCATTGGGAGGTACTTCGCAAGCTCCAGTTAGAGGTGCTTCTCCACAGGTGAACCTTGGCACCGTGGGAATACCAACACAGAGTTCAACTCCTGCAGCCCAGACACCGGCTATTACGACATCTGTAAAGCCAAACCCAACAGATCTAAACATTCTGTCTTCACAACCAGCTGTTAATGACTCCAAGGCATTGGTTCCCTTAGGAAATGGATCTCCGTCCAACTCAAGTTTTGGGGTTGATCCTTTCTCTGCAACTCCACAACCAACGCAAAATTCATCTTTCCCCCATGTTTCAAATGGCTTGCCCGGTTCTACAGCCCATGGCCCAGCTGCTGGACCTCATCACCCCCCTAAGCCAATGCCACCTGGTCCTGTGCAGGGTATATCATCGTTGCCTTCTCATATTGGTCAGGTGCCACCAAACCAGCCAGCTCCTAAGCAAAACCAGTTTAATAGCATACCGAGCACTCCAGGACCACTGAGTGCTAACATCCCTGGTGGACAAATGCCTACAAATCAAAAACAGTTTCAGGCCCCATGGCCCAAGATCACTCAAGCAGATGTCAGGAAATATATGATTGTATTTATTAAGGTAGACAGAGATCGAGATGGGAAGATCACTGGTGAAGAGGCAAGGAATCTGTTTTTAAGTTGGAGGTTGCCAAGAGGTAGTGTTTCTTCCATGTATATTTACCATATTTCCCTCCTGATACTGTGAATGATGGACTGTGTTCTCTTTTTGTGTGCCTGTGAACTTGGTACATTCCATCTAAGCAAATAACTAGGTGATGATTATATGCATAGTGCAGCGTGCAAAAACATCAATCTGTTTATATAAGTGCAAATTCTAGTTCGAAAAAGGAATTCTGCTTTTGCAGTCATTCCTTGACTTTTTTTTTCGCCATGAAAATTGCCTTTTAGGCGACTAATTAGTTTTTTACACTTTTTTTTTCAAATTCATTGGCTGTTGGTGCCATGCTATTGCTTGCTGTCGTTAGACATCTTTTGCATGTACTTATACCTACAAATATGTATTTATGTTATTAACCTACTCAGATATTTTCTTTTGCTACATGCAATTTGAATTGACATATTTGATCATGTTTTATCCTAGCATCCATATCCTACTATTTCTTGATAGTGAAAGATGTGTTTTTATATTTGCATGACATTGTATTATTGGAGTTTAGTGCCTCAGAGCACCAGCACAATCTTATATTGTTATTGTTGATGAATAAACTGCCATCAGATATTCAGATAAATACTGTCTGTTTGTTAGCTTGTTTTCCCACTGAAAGTTACCTCTGATGCTCAAATTCTCTCTGGACATTGGTTCTTATTTATTTCCTGCCAATAAGTTTCTAAAATTTCTGCCCCTCTCCACTTATAGAGATCTTAAGGAAGGTGTGGGATTTGTCCGACCAGGATAAGGATGGGATGCTGTCTTTCAAGGAATTTTGTTTTGCTGTGTACTTAATGGAGAGGTTCCGAGAGCAGCGACCACTTCCTGATGTATTACCAGATGGTATTTGGGCGGAGGGAATTTCACTACCCTCTACTGGCCAGTTTGCAGAAAACCCTAGTGGCCCGGCTCCTCATCAAAGTGCTGGTATTTATCTAAAGAAACTGTTCTGTTCATTCTTTTGAGCACTAACTAATGAGATACCCCCCTGTCACTGATCTGGTTTTTGTTGAATAATTGTTGTAGGGTTTGCAAGTAGAGCAATGCAAGGACCACATCCTGGAATGCCTCCTTCATCTGTGAAGCAACAACATCGAAGGCCTCTTCATTTCGATGATGATACTACACCGACTGAACCACAAAAACCTAAGGTCCCAGCATTGGAGAAACATTTGGTTGGCCAGCTTAGCAAAGAGGAACAAAATGCACTCGAAGCGAAGTTCAAGGAAGCTTCAGATGCCGATAAAAAGGTATTTACTCATCACGCTTAATTAATGAAAATATTTTTGGACTTTTCACATTTAGGATACTAGAAAAACAAAAGTAAATCCAAATTTATTTTGATTTGGCTCTCCACAGCTGGGTTCTTGTTCAATATTTTCCATTCCATAGTTCACGAGAACTTAAACTTGAAAAATTAAATTTCTGAAGTTTTTTCTTGAACAGCTCAGGCATCACATACTTTTTGAAACTTATCATGGTAGTGCAGGTAATAACTAAGATGTTTAAACCAGAATATATATTAACACTATAGTAATTAAATCATGTTCGGGTAAGTGTTTCACAGGTTTGAATTCATATTCTCATAGATTCATGGAAATGGTGATGCCATTAGACTTCCAGCTAAATTATCTTGGGGCAAAAATGCAATGTGGATTTGCAACATCATACACGCATTTAGGCTGTCCTGATGTGTAACATGAACATGTTTTAAATCTTTATGAAGGTTCAAGAGTTGGAAAAGGAAATACTGGATTCCAGGGAGAAGACTGATTACTATCGCACCAAGATGCAGGAGCTGGTAAGTACTCTATAGCAATATATGCCAATATGCCTTACTATGTAAATGCAAACATATATTCTGAGTGCAAGAATTAGGTCCATCTATATTGAGAAGCATAACTATTTGTATGTTTAGGAATCTTGGCGAGGTCTTTGTTGATTCAATTCTACTTGCATTTCCCATTTTACTCGTTTAGCTGCTGGTATAGCATTTCCATTAAATGATGTGATGTTTTAGAACTATAAGCTGCAGCGTACCGTCTTATACCAATTAGACATATTCATCTCTACCATTTAACTATAATACTTGACACCTAATATCAGCTATTCATATTTGCAAGTTGTATGTGTTCATGTGATCATGTCTGACTTGATTTCTTTATTTTTCCCTAGATTCTCTACAAGAGTAGGTGTGATAACAGGTTTAATGAAGTCTCAGAAAGTATGTCTGCTGATAAGCGAGAGGTAATGTTTTCTGTAATCTTGATTAAGAAAATGAGCTATGCAATTCATTGTTCTGCCTTTCTGGTGTAATTTCTAAAGTGTGCACTGAAGCAAAAGATAACTACATTGTTGTACTGTACTTTTGTACTGTTGTATATTGTGATACATAACGTAGTACATGTGCAAGCCTCCAGTCATCGCATGCTCTTGGAACAACTCACAGTATCCAGCTTCTTGTTTTGGGGGAATTATAAGTTAGTATAGTAAGAGCCAGAAAGATAGTTTGACGCATTCATGAATCGTGAACTGTGTTTTGTCTGTCATATAATGTCTCTTGTTGTATTATGGGCTTATGGCATTTAATTAAATAATGGCAACCCTTTGTAGTTCTTATAACAAGTTGCATAAATCTCATATTTCTTGATCAATACTGTATTCAGGTTCAATCCCTTTCGGCGAAATATGATGAGAGATGCAAGAAGGTTGGAGATGTGGCATCAAAGCTATCAATGGACGAGGCTACTTTCCGTGAGATCCAGGTATACTTGTGATTTTATCCCAGTAAATGATAAAAAGTTAGTCTTGAGATCTGGACAGACCTCATTATTTCTCCTTTTGCTCACAGGCGAAGAAATTGGAAATTTATAATTCTATAGTTAAGCTGCAGAAAGGGGATGGAGATGACGAGAAGCTTCAGGTTGGCCTTTTGTTATTCAGTATCTTTCATGAATGTGACATTGTAATGTTCTGAAACTATTGTCTGACGATCTTTTTACCTTGCTTATAGGAGCGGGCTAATCAGATACAATCTGAACTTGAAGAGCTCGTGAAATCTTTAAATGAACAGTGCAAGAGATATGGATTGAGAGCTAAGCCAACTACTTTAGTGGAGCTTCCTTTTGGTATGTGCTATTATCGTGTTTAAATTAGATTTTAACATAAGTTTCCATGTTAGTAAGTGTTTTTTCTCTTACTGGTTTTGTTATCTTGTTTAAATTAATCTTGTACCTTGATTTTCAGTTTGTCTGGTATGAATTGAGCTAAAATGAATGCTAGTGCATTCTGCCCACTGCCCAGTATCATAATATTTCTGTTAATGAAAGCAATGTTTACTGCTTCTAGTTTGTCTATTGCATCAGATAGAATGTGACATTCATCACAAACCAGTTTTGCTGCTAACTTGACTTGCTCTTCATTTTCAACGGGCATTGTACTATTTGTGTTGCTTGGTTGCCTTACAGAATAATGAATGATTTACTTTCCCATCTCATTTTTAGGTTGGCAACCTGGAATACAAGAGACAGCTGCTGTTTGGGATGAAGAATGGGATAGATTTGCAGAAGATGGTATGCTAGCTTGATTATATTATCATCTCCTTTATTCGATGTGTTACTTTAGAGCATTTGTAGATTTGAAACATCATATTCTGCTTTCTTTCTCCAGGGTTCTCTATAATCAAGGAACTCACAGTCGAAGTGGAGCCTCCTGCTGTAAAAGAAAGTCATCCTACTGTTGAAGATGGCAAAGTTTCTAGCAATGGGGTATCGGCAGCTACATCAACAGAGAAAGAAGACAGCAAGACCGATAAAACTGCTGCTGCTGAGCAGACTGTAGAACCTGAAGCAACTGGTTCCAACGGCAAAGCAGAATTAGCCAAAAATCCTCCAGTTAGTCCTGCAAAGAAGGCAAAGGATGTTCATACTAATGAACCATCGGGAACAAATGCCGACTCACCACGTGCTGCTGATAGTATCAGGTATAAATTCCATCTCTCTTTCCATTTTACATGAAATATACACCTGGCTCTTGCTAAAAACAAGCACAGTCATTTGTTTCTGCAAATCATTTATTTGATTAAAACAAGCGTAAGCTCTCATGTCAATTTTGTTGGTGCCTAAAGGTCACAAGTTTGAGCTGAAGTTATGTTATGAAGACCAGTTGCATCTGCTATAAATTTAACCTTGCATGTGCTCCCCTTTACCTAATATTGTTAATGGAACTGAAATAAGCCAATTCAAACCTTGAAAACATATGCTGCTTGATGTAATATACTCCCTCCGTCCCATAATATAAGAACGTTTTTAACACTACCACAATATAAGAACGTTTTTAACACTACACTAGTGTTAAAAACGTTCTTATATTATGGGACGGAGGGAGTACAAAACATTAACAACATGCATGAGACTCCTTTGTGCTCAGACATGCATCCTCTCAATGAAATACTCCCTCCGTTCCTAAATATAAGACCTTCTAGAGATTCCAATATGGACTACATACAGAGCAAAATGAGTGAATGTACACTCAAAAGTATGTCTATGTACATCCGTATGTAGTTCGTATTGAAATCTCAAAAAGGCCTTATATTTAGAAACGGAGAGAGTAATACTTTGATAAACACCTTTGTTGTTTATTTTTACAAAAAAATACTATCTTATTGCATGGTAAATTTGACAGCAACGATGGAGCATCTGATTCCCCTGTTCGTGGAGATAAAACCAATAACAGACATTCTTGGGGCCCATCTTTTGATCATGGTGATGATAATGACTCCCTATGGAACTTCGGAGATAAGGTCAAGCTCTCTTCATGCTTTCCGTGGCATCGTGTCATGTTGTATAAATATTTTCTATGTAGCACTGAACTCTGCAATCTGTTTTGCAGGATGGTGAGAATGGTGATTCAGATCTATTCTTTGGGCCAGGAGGTCTTCCCCCCATAAGGACAGGGGGTTCTACATCTGCTAGTGCTTTTGGCAAGGAGCAGAAACCGATGTTTGATTCTGTCCCAGGCACTCCAATGGAGAAGCCATTCTTTGATTCTGTCCCAGGCACTCCACTACAGAAATCCGTCTTTGATTATTCCGTCCCAAGTACGCCGATGCAGAATTCATCCTTCGACTACTCTGTTCCAAGTACACCGATGCAGAAGTCGCTCTTCGACTCTTCTGTTCCAAGTACACCGATGCAAAGATCACTCTTTGATTCTTCTGTGCCCAGCACGCCGATGCAGAAATCACTGTTTGATTCTTCTGTTCCAAGCACACCAATGGGGAATTCATTCTACGACTCTTTCCCGAGCACCCCAATGCAGGGTTCACTCTTTGATTCTGGTCCAGGCAGAGTGGAATCTCCTACGGCCGGGAGCACCTATGGCGGCGGTCAGCAGAAGGGATTCTTTGACTCTTCCGTTCCAAGCACGCCGATGTACAACTCCAGTTTCTCGCCAAGGTACAGCGAAGCCGGGGACGACAGCTCGTTCGACACCTTCTCCCAGATGGACTCCTTTGGCGCGAAAGACAGCACTTCGTTCGGGCAGCCGCGTGACAGCTTCTCACGGTTCGATTCCTTCGGGAGCAGCGCCGAGCTTGGCAGCGGCAATGACGCATTCGGGAGGTTTGACTCTTTCAGCAGCAATGCTGATCAAGGCGGTGGCAGCAGCTTCATGAGGTACGATTCCATGAGCAGCAATGCCGACCAAGGCGGTGGTAACAACAGCTTCATGAGGTACGACTCCATGAGCAGCAACGCTGAGCAGGGCAGCGGTGGCAACAACAGTAGCAGCTTTATGAGGTACGACTCCATGAGCAGCAACGCCGACCATGACAGAAGCAACGTGTTTGCGAGGTTCGACTCGATGAAGAGCACTGACTCCCATGACCAGGGCTACTCCTTCGACGATGACGACCCTTTCGGCACCGGGCCCTTCAAGCCGTCCAAGCCGTCGACAGAGACCTCCAGCCCGACGAGACATGGGACCGACAAGTGGAGCGCGTTTTGACAGGCACCTGTATTATATAGAGGTCATGATGTGTGTGTTTGTGCACCTTACTGCATATATATATACACGTACAAGGAAGGGCAAGACATTTTTGCTTGGGAGGAGAGGGAGCTTGCTTGTGTGTTTGCTTTGCGTTTGTTGCTGTTTATACCTAGGGTCGGGTCGGATCGGATGTTGGTTCAATTGCACATGTTTGGCTGGGATGAATCGTGCTTATAAACATTCTTTATACCTTGTATTGTACAAGTTATCGTCAGTCGGTCGGTCACTTTCAGTGGATATTGGAAAATTTCCGAGCTTTTTCTGTCCCATGTTTTTGTAGCATTGCTTTTGTTTCCTTTCATTCTTTCTTCCTTGTGTACGTCTGCTCTTCACTCAGAACTTTGCTTGCTGTGAGCTGAAGTATTTGGCTAGTGACTAGTGATCATGTAATCTGTCAATATAGAAATTTATGAGATCACTTTTTACGATGTTTTTGGATTCTTTTTGCAAGGATTGTTTTGGAATCTGGGGTCATGTTTTGCTTGCTCCCTCCTTGGGTGAGTCCTCGGTTATCAGAATCAGCTGATGGTTTACCGCCACTTTTTCTGTGGCTATGGTTGTTGTATCCTCGTATATCTTCTTACGACAATGATATGGTTCTATGATATGATCCTGGCACATCGGCTTTTCGTAAACCGTTTACTAATTTGTTCAAGTTGACTGTACTTGCGCGTATGACAAGACCATGATCAGTTCCATGGATGAAAACCTGAAAGGCTTTGCTGTCCACCGATCATTTTCAGATGTGCCTGGTCGTGCCGAAAATCGCGGAGCTCCAGTTTGAGTGCATAGATACAACAATCAAGACGGCACAATCGTATCACCATCGAAACTCGCTGGATTTCCCAAAATGAAGAGAAATGTGGCCCACTGACACGCCATGTAATCAAGTTACAAACCTTCCATCCAGAGAAAGATGACCTCTTCAACAAGTTTCTGTCCACACCAAAAAGGCAAAAAAGAAGCAGGAAACAAAAGGCTCTTGCAAGGTACAACCAAATAACAAGCTGGTGAAACTTGCGAGTTACAACCAAATTGCACACCGGATAGTAGAAAACAAACAGCCTATGGAAGAGATACCTAATAACATTCCAGCAGCAAGAAAATGCTTTCGCTCAAAGGGCACGACCAAGAGCGAATCGCCCATCCGAACGATGTCATCTGTGCATCTTAACCATGCCAAAACTAAAGTAAATTGGGGAGGCAGGGAGGAACAATTATAAATAGGCAGTTCTAGGTAATACCATAGGTCGATACTCCATAATTCGGAAGCTTAACAAGATGATCAAGACATCATAGCAAGCACCGAATGTTTGACTGGCAGTACAAGTAAGAAGAGCCAGGAACAAACGGCATGCTCTCAATCCAAGGGAAAAGCAGAGCAGGAGCCATGGTCATTCAGGAGAATGGAGGCTCCTCAATCCTCATCTTTTTCTTGCATCGCATCATGGCCTGGAATCGGAACAATGCTCTCCTGGAGGCGGTGGTGAGTAAGCAACATGCAGTAGTGGCTCTTTCCAATGTGCACAATGCCTAAGAACTTGCCATCAACATCGCAGCGCAACACATGTTTTCTGTTAAACATGATCAACAACTCTCGCTTGTTAAGCACAGCCATATCGTTCAACAACCGCACCGTGGAATCAGATGATATTCTCGGTTTCTTTTTGGAAGAAGCCGAACAAAATTTTCTTGACATGTCAATCCGGTACTCAAAAGCCCATGTTCCAGCCTCATAATCCTGCATCACCCAGACATCCATAGAAGTGGACCTGGGGGTCGAGCCGCCCCAGAAAGCAAGTGTCCCCTCCATGTCGAACAACTTCCTACAATGGTACGGCTGAGTGGGACCGCGCATCCATCGGAATGACTCTGATTCCTACAATGGTGCTCGGAGCCTGGGAGGAAGGGCCAGAGTTGTTGATGGGAGGCTCCGGCACCGGCTTCTAGAGAAACAACGACGAGGCTGGAGGGCCGCCCGTGCCCGTCGACGATGGGGAGCGACGGCTGGCGGCGGCGGTGCTCGAGCACGAATGCAGGCGTGGACGTCGCGCTGCGCCACGACGTGCCGACGTCCTTGGACGGCAGCCTGATGAGTATCTTGTCAATGATCTCCTCCGGCAGATACTCGAGCAGGGTCGCGCCTCTCGTGCCCGGGTCGAGCAGCTGAAATCAAGAAGACAAGCAAGCACAAATTGTTACTAGCTCGCAGCTGATTGTAGTCACACATTTGACAGTGCAACGTGAATGCACTTGTGTGATTGTGAATGCAATTGATTGTGCATTGTGTTGCGGTAAAAAGTGCTGAGAAGCTTCTCAGCTGCAGTTGCTCTGTTTGTGTGTGTGTGTGCGCGCGCGCCACAACTGAACCACCTCGCGGCGAAAAGTGAGACGAGGACGGGTTGGTTTACCCTCAGCGGCCATCACCATAGAGTACACGAAGGACGGGATTACCCTCACCGCGAGTGTGCGTTCGGCCGCCTCTGTTTGATCTGAGCGTAGGACTGCTGCAGAAGGGGACGCACCGGAGAAGAGAGAGAGAGAGAGACGGCGGGCAGCTCACCTGCGTCGCGGAAGAAGGCGGCGGAGAAGGGTGTCTTTCGTTGTACCTGGTTTCACGTTTTTCAATGGAAAATGGTGGAGCCGGGGGGTGTTTTCTGCCCTCCTGTTAGTCTAAAAAAAAGAAGGCGGCGGAGAAGGTCAAGGTGGCGAGCTGGACCGATACTGGATTTTCCTCCCGTGCATGGTCCTCTGTACAATACCACGTATGCTCTGTGAGATACACCTAATAATTGTCCTAGAGCATTAATGGTGGAATAGTGATACATGCAACAGTCATCCCCTGTGCGTAATCAATTATCCATACAAAAGCCAACATGACGACGGTAGCCGACTGGAGACGCTTCTGGACTGGCCTTTTGCCGCTCTAGCCTTCTCTCCTTTTCCTCTGCTCTGCTTTCCTCCTCTTTCTCCGCCCAAATCTTCTCCTTATCTCTGATCTCCTTCTATTTTCCAGCCTCCTTTTCCTTCCTAGATCCCTTTCTCCTTCTCTGCTCTAAGTCGCTCTATCCAGCGAGTAATGGAGGGTCAGGATGCTGGTGTTGAGGGTGCGCCTGTGCGGCCGCAGGCGGATAAGCCAAGGGCAGGTCGACCTAATCTGCTAGCACCAGATCTTGTGTGCCCTCATGCGGATAGGCCGGGGGGAAGTGGAGCTATTCAGGGGGCTCATCTCCCCTCTCGCTCGATAGCGCCAGATCCTGGGATTGAGCTCACCATGCAAGCGCTTTCAATCAGTGAGCCGGAATTTGTTCATGTTCAGGCTGAGAACCAGGCACATGAGGAAGGACAGGATGCAGAGTTTAATATATTGATGAAGCTTGCTTCTACTGGAGGTCCAATCAGAGTTCTTTCTCTTCAGGCTGTGCAACAATCTATGGCTAGAGCATGGAGGGATAATTATTACGGTATATCTCAATTATCAAGGTATGTTTTTGTGGCGCACTTCCGCTCTTTGGAAGCTGTTATGTTTGTGATTACTCGTCAGCCTTGGAGCATGGGTTCAGGCAACTTTTTGATTGAATGGATGGATCCGGAGGAACAAGATAAGAATATTCAGGACTACAAGTTTGATTCAATTTATGTCACTGTTCGGATTTATGGTATCCCCATCAGGTTTAGAACCCAAGCACTGTTAGCAAGCATCCTGCAAAAAGTGGGGCAGATTTCAGAGTTTCATCCGATTAACAAGAGTATGATTTCGGCTAGGCAGGAATACATTTGGGGTACTATTAAAGCTCAGATCAGTAGACCTGTGAAAGATAAAGTTTGGGTTTCTTATGGCGAAGACTCTGCTGGTTGGGCCTATTTGTTCTACGAGAAGATTGGCAGAATCTGTACTTTTTGTGGAATTATGTTTCATAGCGTCCAGCATTGCAAAGCTAGAAACAGTGTCCTTATTTCAAGGAGTAGGCTTCAAGTCTCTTTGGAGGGTATCTCCCCAAATAAATTTGGCCAGTGGATGACTGCTGCAGATTTGATTCCTTCTCTTTCAGAAGAACGTAATCTGTGCAAAGCAAATTCATTCTCATTTTTTGTAAATCCTCAGTTAGCCAGATTGCAGAAGCAGTTCATAGAACACCCTAAGGGCAAGGGGATAGCTGTGGATAGCGCGGATGCGGAGGAAGCTAATCAAAAAGAATTATCTCTTTCTAAGATTAATGAGCAAATTAGAAGGATAGAAGAAGGTGGTTCATCTACAAATGCAGAACTACAGATATTGCAGAATCAGATGGGAGGTATGGCTACGAGGTGTAGCTATAGTCAGGGTCAGTGCCCGAGTCAGAGCGACGCTGTTAAGATTTCAGCGGTGCCATCAACTGTAGTTAATATGGAGACGGCCTCTGTTCCGGACAATAACGCAGGAGGAGTTCAAATTCAAGGCTTGCACACTCCAGTACAGCAGGGTGCTGTTATTCCTAATCCATCACAAATCTCCATTTTGTGTGCTCTGCCTGCAACTCACATCTCAGATACTGGCCCCTCATCTGCTATTCAGGCTACTAAGGAAGACTATAATCCATGTGGGAAAGCTCCTGCTAATCCATCCATCTTCCCAGGTGTTGTGCCTTCCTCGCCTCCGCCTCTTCTCCCTGTCCCCTCTCCGCTCAGATCCAGTCCCAAGAGGCTGCCAGAGTCGCTGTTTGGGCTTCCGGTTCCGCCGGCGAAGAAGGCCAGCATCCATGGAGGTCGTGGGAGGGCAGAAGATCAGTCTGATTCGGTGCTCGGAGCTCCGCCTGTTAGGCAAGTTCTCTCTCCACAGCCATCTGCAACTAGTGGTATGGGAGCCTTCACAGTGCCTGCTAGTACAGGGAGAGGAAGGACTTTGGACGGTTCTTCGCCTTTTGGATCCGCAACATCTCAGGGTGGCTACCATCGATATCGCTATAGCAGATGGGATA